CTGTTTTAAAAAAGAAAAGAAAGAAAAAGGAATTCCAAATAATTATGATGGTATTGTTCTAGACAGCTTTGAAAGATGCAAGTCTTCTTAATTCATAATCACATAAATTTAGTACTAACCTAAGTACAGAAAAGAAAGCCATGAACCAATGTCACTTATGAATATAGTCACAGAAATTGTAAATGAAAACGTAGCAAATGAAGTCCAGCAAAATAGCAAAGGAATAATACACTAGAATCAAGTACAAATTCTTTTTCCAAGAATGCAAAGATGGTTCCAATATCGGGAAAGCTAATACATAATTTATTATGTCAACAAATTGAGGGGAAAAGGTGATCATATCCATAGATTATGAAATGGAAGTTGATAAAATTCAACAACCATTCCCAATAAAAGCAATCAAAATCAGAATGGGAATGGAAAGAAACTAAATATGATAAAGATTGTTTAGGATAATATTTGCTTTTGGTTTTGGTAAGCAGCAAAATATTGAAGCTATTTTTACGGAAAATAGCAACAAGATAGACATTCCTGCTATAATTATTATTACTCAGCATTATTTTGGAAGTCCTAGTGAATGCAGTTAAATAAGATTAAAAAAATACTTGGTATGGACACGGAAAAAGAAGAGATAAAATAATCTTTTTCCCCTCAGATAATACTGAATATGTAGAAAATTCAAGTGGAAAAACCAAGATAAGCAGGGTGGGGGGGGACTACTAGAAATAACAGACTGAAAAAGAAGAGTGGCAGAGACTTTGCTTAACAGACAATGAAGCACACTGTAAAGCCGCTGTAGTCAGATCAGTACTGCAATGACGTAGAAATAGACAGATGAGTGGACGAGAAGATGAAGTTCAGAAATAGTTCCCTGTGTGTGTGTGTAACAGAAGTGATGTTTCTTATCAATGAGAACGCAACAGTTTTTTTAATCAGGGATACTAAAACAAGTGAATATTCAGATGGAAGAACATAATAGCCTATTAAAAATACAGCACAGATGGATTGAAAATTTTAAAATAATGAATTAACTTTTAAAGAAAGAAAACAGAAGAAAATTTAGGAAATTATATGTATAACTTAGGTCCTGGAAAAACTTCCTTAACAGGAAAACCAGAAGCTTTAAAAAGAAAAGATAGTTTATTTGACTGTATAAGTACTTAAAAATAAATAAGAATTTAGCTTTATATATATATATATATATATATATATATATATATCTTTTTTAAAGATAATTTACTTTTAATTTATAAAAGTATTGGTTCTTCACCTCAGTTTGAGAAGTACTGATTTAGGTTGTCTGTCTCCTGTATTTATTGGAAACTGGAAGACAGATCTAAAAGTTAATTCAGGTTGCAGCATTTTTGGCTAGGATATGTCATAGATGGTATCATCTTCATATTGCATTATATTGGAGACACATAATATCTGTTTGTCCCATAACTAGTGATCCTATATTGACCATTGGATTTGCATGATGATGGCCTGATCCTTCCACTGTAAAGTGCAAATCATCACAATGGAGGTCAGTAGGAGCCCCTTCAAGCTGGCTTCTGTGTCCTTTTAACAGGACCCCATTAATCTTCAAAAAACTTTCTTCCTTTCTGGCCTGAGATTTCCCTGCTTCACCTTATACTTCTCCTGCCCCGGACTAATATCAGCTATCTCTTCATTGCAGTGGGGAATGATCTTAAAGCCCAGAATCTAGGTATGAGGGGTGCTTTTTCTACTGAGTTGGCAGTGTTTCTAGCCATTTCCATCTGTAGAGCTAGAAAAAATGTATTTTTAAAAAGCATGAGTTCATGATGATAGTTTCAATTCTGTTAACATCACAGTGTTTTACTTTGCTCTTTCATTTTCTAATTAGGTCTTTTTTTCTTTTATGCTGAAATTCTTGATTCCTGACATTATTAACCCCAAAATGTATTTATCCCACACTAGGAAGAACATGATTTCAAATAACAAAACCAATATTAATACTACCAAGAAAATGACAATGAAATTGAAGATGTCTTTTTAGTTCTTTTTGTCTTGGGATGTTCTGAACTGTGTTCTCAAGTTACTCAAAACAAATCATTTCTAGGTGTTGTAACCAATTTGATATACAGCAAATTTTTTTCAGTTTTAGGAATTACTTTTTAAAAATAAATATTTTGAAATTTTTTACATATATATTCTTTTGATCTCTACTGCATTACATATTTTCACTTACTTTATTCATATATTTATCAAGACTACTCCCATTAACCTGCTACACTTTTATTTTGCATTCTCAGATATATAGAATAAGAGACTGTCTGCAATTAATATACTCAGTATTATTTACCAAAAAAGCAAAAGGGGAAATCAAATACAATGTGTCTATTTTCTAGTTCCTATTGAGCTCATTTTGAACTAATTAATTCAGTTAATGATTAGGACATATCACGTGAGCCAGTATTCACTATGATGGGTAAAATAAATAAAAATGTAGTGTTTGTATGTGGGGCAGAAAAGTTTTCTTCCCCCTATGTTTGATAAACACTAGGTGTGCGTATGTGTGTGTATGTAATGTGTCTTTTGTATTCTGCATTTACATAGTTGGTTGTACAATGAATTCGTTATTGATAAAATTTTTCATTCTGCCTGAGACAAAAATAATAAATTTGATTGTATTCATTCAGGAAATATTTATTGTAAAATTGTAAAAGCATGTAAAAGCACTAAAAATTCAGAATGTAGCCTTGAGCAAGCAAAGACCCTGAACTCACGGAGATTATGTGGTGGTGGGGGAAACAGACAACAAGTCTGACCTCAATTTCCTACCATCTAACCAAACCTCAGCAATCAATTCTCAAACTTGGGTAGCAATGCTAATGTTGCTAATTCTGTCCCCTGTGTGGCCTGTCGCTGTACTATAATTGTTTGAGGACTTCTTTTTTTTTTTTTTTTAAAGATTTTATTTTTTCCTTTTTCTCCCCAAAGCCCCCCAGTACATAGTTGTATATTCTTCGTTGTGGGTCCTTCTAGTTGTGGCATGTGGGACGCTGCCTCAGCGTGGTTTGATGAGCAGTGCCATGTCCACGCCCAGGATTCGAACCAACGTAACACTGGGCCACTTGCAGTGGAGCACGCAAACTTAACCACTCGGCCACGGGGCCAGCCCCCTGTTTGAGGACTTCTATCGGGCTTTCCAGGTCTACTCCATATTAATGGTACCCAACTAGAATTGTAGAATTAAAGAATTAAATTAATGAATTTTTAAGAAAAAACAAAATGTTATACGTATACCTGTTTGAAATATCTGTGAAAAAATCTGTCTTTCCAAAATATGTAGCAGGTATTCATTTTTGATATTAAAAAGATGATTATTTACCTTACAGAAGAATTTTACCTAGAGTTACTTTCAAAGAATATGTTCTCCTAGTACATTTCAAATGACTCAATTTACAAGCATCCTATTTACACACAAGCTCCTCAAATTCTTATTAAAATTTAGTTTATAAGTATGGAGTACTCTATTATGAGCTGTAAAGAACAACAATAAATAATTAAAAAATAACCATTGACATTATTGCGTCTAACTTTATCTGAAATAACATAAGATCATAAGGATATGGATATGAAAATATAATTAAATAAAGATCAAAATACTATCAGATATGGTCACAAATATAAAAGAAGAGTGACAGGGTGGGAATTCTTTACTCCATCACCCCCTATCTTTTTCATCACTCCCCATCCAGGGAGAGGGTCATTAAGAAAGAAAAGACCAAAAGCACTTTGTTAGTATAACACAAACACAGAAAGTCAGGTTATGCTTTACATGTGGGCAGTATTAGCATGAGAAATGTTTTCTTATATATTTGTTAATTTTATAGGAGGCCTAGGAGGGTGAGAACTGATGAAAAGAGAAGAAAACTGGGTGAAACCAATTGGGAGCTAGGACACTAGGAGATGGGCAGATGGAGAAAAAGAATTAGGGGTCGATGGGAGTGGAAAACAGAGAAGAAGACCAGAGAGAGAAGGTGCTCCCAGGTGTTCCTCTGAGGCAGACTCTGATGGCCGAGTGTCTTAATAGGACAAATAAAGGCTTTCATTATCTCATAGGCTCCCAGTGTGTGTGTTCATCATTGTCTAGTAAGCTTTGCTTTCTGGCAATGGATTGTAGTTTCCAAATGTTAAGGGCACAGTTATTGTAGCCATTCGGTCATGAGGGAGGAAAGCAGGTTCTGTTGTCGGGAGAGGTGGCTGTGCTCTGGTGGATGGTGTTCTCAGGCAGATAGGAATAAGGACAATGTGAAAGCCGGAGGTCTGGCAGGCTTCTCGTGCTTGAGGAATCCTCTGATGAACATTTCTCCTTCCTAAACAGTTCCCACAAATAGACCCCCAGCAGCCGTTTCATGCTTGCTGAAGAAAACCATCTAGCTGCAATTAAATATAAAGGCTTCAAATTAAAATGGGATTTGAGATAACCAACTCAGCTCACCCACACTAAAATAGAGCTAGGTAGTCAACTCTGCGTGATACACAGTTCTTCCCAGGCTTGAGAAGGGGACAATAATGGTCACCTCAAGTGGGAGAGTACTAGGAGGTAAAAGATAAAGAAAAAAGGTTGAAATTTTAAAGAAGACAAACCAAAGACTCTACAGTTTTGCCTGGGTTTTACCTAGTGATACTCATTTGGGTGAAGGAAAAACAATCTGGTGAGAAGTCTTGTGAATTAATTGCTGGTGTTTCTTTTCCACTTGGCATCGTATGTGAAACATTTCTTTTAAAGCATACGCCAACTCTTTTCAAGGGGAGCTTTGTTCTCTGATGAGCCGTTAATTGAGCTATCACTGCAGAAATTGGGACAAAATTCAGTTTATACTGCAGAACTCCTTAGCGGCGTTCATTTTTCAATCCCCTTTCTCCTCCCCTCGTGTCTCCAAACACGCTCTTCCTCCTCTCACTGCCAGAGTGATTTCAGAAGATTCTGTAACAAGTTCTCAGAGGCCCATTATGCAGTAACAAAGAATTCCAGAAGTGAGCTGCAGGTTCTGCCCTTGCCTGCTTTCCTGAGTGGAAGGCTGCCCTCATCCCTTGTCCTGATGGATCAGGACAAGCATTGCCCAGGCCTGCAAGCTTGCCAAGCACTAGGAAACCAAGCAAGAACTCATCATGCCAATAAAACCTGTTGGGTGGATATGCGGGCAGGTGTTGAAGAACTTTTCGGGAAGAAGTATATACAATCTTGTTCTAAAGGGGATATGGGCATGGGAAAGTGGGAATAAAGCCCCCTCGGGTTTGCTTGCTTTCCCAGGACCCAGTGTTCTTTGTTCTTAACTGAAAGTTAAGCTTTAGTTTTTTTCTCTAACTTCTTTTTGTCTTAGTTGAGGGGATCCAGAAGGCAATCGTGGACTTTATAGATGAATTTAAAGATGAATTCCCCACCATCCTAAGATTATCACAGTCTAATCAGGTAATGTGATTTCTTAACTTTGAAAGGATTATCAAATGTTTATAGTATTTTTAGTATCATACCAATTATTTAATGCTTGATTTTGAGATCAGTGCTTGAAGCTTAGGAAAACATTAATTTTGCCTCAGAAAAACAAACTTGAAATTGTATTCATTGGGAGAGATCTATGGAAAGCAGAGAGGTTGTGGACAAGAAAATGAGGTAGATACATTAAATTTAAATACAATCGCTGTGCCATTAGAGATCTAGAACTCTCTCATAGCCACAATTGCAATGTAGTTTACTTATATTTGTCTAATATAAAATCAGAAAAATACCTAGATATACTCTAAGTAAAATCTATGGCAATTAAATCAATGAAAAAACATAACCGACACGAATTTTAACAATGGAAAGATAAATATGGTATAGGTATGTGTTTTAGCGTGGAAAGAAAATAGTGCTATTAATTCAAACAAAGTACATATGCATATGTTTTAAACATCTCTTCCAAAAAGGATTTGAGACAGATAAAATATCGGGAGAGGAAGAGGGGATAGGTAGAGAATTTTGAAGAGACCATGGTCAGAAAAAAGTAACGTCTTGTTTACGGGACACATGTAACCTAATTTACTCAAATACACAGCTCTTTGTGGAAAAGTGTTGTTCCAGTCATTTTGACCACAGTTGGAATAGGATATGTTGTAAAGTTCTATGGTACAGGAACAATCTACTTATCCACAAATCGGACTGTTGGCAATGTCAGTATGAGGAACAAAGCCAAAACCTTGAAGTCAACAAAAAAGCACTCTGAGTAACACAGTAATCACAAAGTCTATATATTTCATTTTTTCATATTTTGAGGAAGATTAGCCCTGAGCTAACTACTGCCAATCCTCCTCTTTTTGCTGAGGAAGACTGGCCCTGAGCTAACATCCATGCCCATCTTCCTCTGCTTTATATGTGGGACACCTACCACAGTATGGCTTTTGCCAAGCAGTGCCATGTCCGCACCCGGGATCTGAACCGGCGAACCCTGGTCCGCCGAGAAGCAGAACTTGGGACCTTAACCGCTGCGCCACTGGGCCAGCCCCTTATGTATATCATTTTAAAGGAAAGGTATTAGAACTACCTTTAACTAGTTATCCAGACAACTAGGCATCAAACATTTACTAAATACTATACTATTGCTTGAGACTGGAGAGAGGGAATACAGAGTTATAAACAAGACAGGATTCCTTCAGTCAGTGAGCTTAATCTAATGGAGACAGAGTTGTAGACAAGTACTTGCATTGGAATATGGTAAGAGGTATATCCAATTTAAAGGAATGAATGACTCTACCGAGCATGGTCAGAGAAAGCTAATGGAGGAAGGATGCTTAAATTGGGTCTCAAAGGATGAGTAGGAGTTTTTAAGTTGAGGAAAGGGATAAGATAAGTGGGTAGGAGCAGGAAGAATATTCCAAAGGAAGCAGTGTCAATTAGGCCAAAAAGTATGAAACAGCATAGCATGTTACCAGAATGTCAAGTAAATCTGGATAAATGGCATGGGTCTTGGCTCTAGACTTTGGGGAGAGATGATACTGAAGCATAGGAATCTGGATGCACCGTGGTAAGATGGCATCCAGATGGTGGTCAGCTAGGTAGGATAGGATAAGGCTTAAAAGCTCCACAGGGCAAACTGGAATTGTAGTTTCATATCTTAGACGTGGCGTCTAGTTGCTTCCCCTTTTTGTAGTCCCCTAGTCTTGGTAGAAAATCTTTTGAAACATTGGAGACTTTTCTTGGCTATGCTCCAGAATATTAAGGAAAGAGATGAGCAGGTGACCATGTATGGTCTAGGATGTAAAATGGTTAAGTCCGGCACAGTAGTGACAGAATTATTGAGAAAGCCTCAAGGTAAATCCTAGGAAGCCAGAGACGGGCCTAGAAAGCCCTGCTGCCCCTTCTGAGTTGTGATTCTCTGACCACTGTCAACATTAGAGAATGGGGGTTTTATTTAATCAAAGAAGTTGTGACTTTCTTTACAACTCCCTTCATTTCTTCCTACCCTCTGCATAGCTTCACTATCACTAGAGCCATAGCATGCTTTACGCTGAAATAGATTGATATTCTGATCCCAGAGGAAGAATTCTCATTTCCTATTTTCAACTCATTGAAGTCATTTACTTACAGAACTTTACCCCACTCAGAGAAGAATATAAACATAGTTAAAGTTACTTTATGTCTTATTTTAAAATGCTTACATTGTTCTTTTTCCACCATTTACTTTGAAGAATGTGTTGCTGAGATTGGCAGGAAACCTGAGTATTTTAGGGGATATTGTAACACGTTGAAGTTATTTGCTCCTCAAAAATAAATTATCCAGAAAACAATCCTAAGACTCCGTTGTTAACAAAATTGTTTTTAAAAGGTCAGATTGTAAATGGTGCAAATTTTATTATTTCCGGGATGGTTCATAGTTTCCAAACATACTGAAAGGAATGGCTTTCTTTAAGAATAATTAGAGAGCTTTATTAATTGGGTTGTATTTTAAATCTCTAAATTTTGTGATTAGTATTTAAATCTTTTTCTGTTTTTTTAATTTCAGGCATTTATTTATTTAGGAAAAGGCATTTATTTATTTATTTATTTCCTGGCCTGGAGCAAAAAAAAAAAAAAATTGATGGGCGCAATGGTGGAATTTTTATAGAGGAATATGCTCAGAATACTGGTTATTAAATAGTTCTTCATGGCTAAAAAGTTTGAAGGAAATTTTTTTCTGGGTCTGGGGAAAGTTAATTTTAGAATCTTGGCTAGAGGTCGTGACTTCTGAGGTCGTGTACTTTCCACTCCCTCCTTCTCAACTAGCCCAGACCCTGATACCCTCAGTATCCACTTCCTTTGGTTAAAAGTAAGTTTTTTAAGGTTTACACTTGCAAATTGCAAATGATTTCCATATGGGAACTTTAAAATATTAAGCTTTTAAGTTTGAACAAATGAAAAATGCATACTACAATTGAAGAATTAAAAAATTTTAATTCAGGTGGTTTTTACTTGAATGAGAGAAATCTTTTGTCATAAATAGGGTCAGTTTTTGTGGGTTTTAGTTATGAAAGGTGATTATGTGTTTTATTCTGTAATCACACTTAACTGTATACTCAAAATTGGGAATTATAGAGAGAACATATTAGAATCCAGGCAAAAATTTGGATTTCTACATCTGTAGTGTACTATTCTGAATTCTCTATGCTTTTTTTTTTTTTTTTTTTTTAAACGTGGGACAAAAACTGGTGGCGATGCACCAATGAGATCTGGAAATTTCTTGTGTTGGTATTAGGGTTTCTAAATATAATGGGAGTAGGATTGTAACTAGAGTGTCTTATAATTATATTTTTGTCTTTGGTGAGTTGTTTCTTGTGGTGCACTGTCATTATTGTGGAAGTTACAGAGCACATTGTACACTGAAAACTTTCTGGGTGATTTCTAAATATGTAGTATATTTCTCTGATATTTCTCAATATTAACTTGTAATATTTTTCTGATATCCTTTGTTCGTTCATTTTAACATAGATTTCTTGAGCACCTCCTATGTGTCAGACAGTATTCTGGGCACTGGGGAAAGATAACTGAGCCAAATGGATATAAAACACTGCTGTCCTAGAAGCTACATCCTAGCCAAGCAGAAAAACAATAAGGAAGATAATCTACCTATTCTGTTAGTGGTAGGTGATGAGCAGAGAAGGGATATGCAGCAGGGCTAGGGAAAGGGAGAAGAGTTGACGGTTAAGGTCAAGTGACCAAGAGGGTCCTGGTGAGAAAGTGATTCTTGCATTGACTTGAAGGAAGTGAGGGAGCAACCCTTGGCATCTTTGAGGAATCGAGTCGGGTAGCTAGTGCAGAGTCCCTGAGGTGAGAGTATACCTGTCAGGTTCAACAAATAGTGAGGAGGGACAGGGAGAGAGAATGAGGCCAGAAAGGTAAAGAAGAGACAGCCTTTGGGGGCCTTGCTGGCCAGTGTGTGTACTCCAGCTTTTACACTGAGGGCACCAGGAAGCCTCTGAAGCGTGGAGCAGAAGAGCAAGAGATGATCTGGCATAAGTTTTGATTGTCTCTCTGGCTGCTTTGTTGAGGAACAGGCAAGGGTGGAAGCAGGGAGACAGCGGAGGCCCACTTACTAGTCTGGGGAAGAGGAGGTGCTATCTAAATGTGATTGACTGAGTGTTGGTACTGGGGCTAGTGAGAAGTGTCAAATTCTGGGACTATTCAGGGAAAGAATTGAATGAGATTTGCTGACAGGCTGGTTTAACCGTAGTAAAAAGCTGATGTAATAGAAATTGGAGTTCAGCAATAAAACTGCAGATGATAGAGAAATGGGCTTGGCACTAGAAAAAAGAAAATAAAAAGGGAAAGCAGAATATGTATTCGAAGAATGGAGCTCTAAAAGAGAAATCTGGAGCAGAATTCTCAAACCAATTGGATTACCTGATGCTAAGTTTCTTTTGGTAAATGGTCTTTAAGTACCTATGTGTGTCTCTGAGGTGTTGGTGGTTGGGAGTAGGAATTTCTTTTCTGACATTTGGTGATGTGCTCAGATTTTGATGATGACTAAAAGAATCATCTGAACTTGCACACTTTGCAAACAAGTCCAGGCTGCTTAGGTCAAGAGTCCAAAAAAGAAAAAGGGAAAAGAAATGAGGACTTCTTAATTTGGGGTTAACGTTTAAATTTACATACATGGTTTGGTAAGAAAATATATAGCATAGATGGTATACAAAAAGGAAAAGCTGGTAGCTCAAAAAAAGGGAAAAACTCTTTTACTGAAAAATGTTTCTACTAGAGCCAATTCAAGAAGTAACTCACTGAAGGTAAGAGTGAATTGGAATCACCGTCATAAACTGGTGACTGTTTTCGTAAAAAGAACATCTCATTCTGCATCTAAAGGAATGGAAGTAGCCTCTCCTCTGTTGTCACCTTCCTATTCCCAGAGCTACAAAGAACCACTGAACATGCACCCATTACCCAGATTTAGTTTCTAATACTATTCTTCTTAAAAGCCATAATGGTCTTCCTGGAAGTAAGTTGATTCTGTTTTTTGTGGGAGGGAAAATAAGGTGGTCAGAAACATTTTGTTGTCAGAGGTATTAATTCTTTGAGAGGTACCTAGGAAAGAATAAAAAAAAAAAAATGGAAAGCATTTTTGAAGGGAAGCACAGTTGTCAAATTATAACCATTTCACCATTAAAGGGAAACAAAGATTTAATTATGAACAGATTGGGTCTGTTGGAAAAAAGCCATAATTTATGACCAGACTAAAATGAGAAAGATAACACCAAGAGCCCTAAAGAATTATTGTAGTGCACACTTGAATTTTTAAAAATATTGCTTATAAAAAATGTTATATTTTGGTCAACACAAATTATGTGAACCCTCCAAGAGAGTTTTAAGAGATTGTCAATTACAAATAGGCTTATTTTTCTACAGAGATAAAACATGAGAAAGACAGTTTTGTGAAAAAGAGGGGAAAGCTGAATGGATCAATCTAGTATACTGTTTGAGGGAATGGATCAAGATCGGTTAATGGAAACACGTGTAAAGTCGGTGACTCCAGGCCAACATGTACAGATTGCCAAGATTTTGTAGAGAAACTTCCAAAATAAGGAGAGAGAAACTAAAGAAAGTTCATGTTTTGCAACTACAAAAATGAAGGGTCCCTAAAACACTGAATGACCACGTAGATGAGGTTTCGGCAAAAGGGGAACTGCGCATATCCCACTCCTGTTTGCCCCGGCAATATGACCCTCGCCTTATGGTTATAAATTATAATGAGAGAAAACACAGTAAAATGTAATCAGAAGTAAAACCAAATTTCTTCTAGCTGCTCCACCTTGAGGGGGAGTCGGGAGGAAGAGGCACTGAAGTGAAACAAGGTCACAAGAGAAATTGAATCTCTGTGCAGGAGCTTTGGATATTGCAGACAATGTTTCTCTCCCCAGTGTGTGTGCTCTGGCAACCAGGGTAGATAATAATATCAAGTGATTGCACTTGCGTGTTGTTTTGTTTGTTCTGTGTACCATATAACTGCTCGTAAGGATTTCTGTGCTCTAAAGTGGCTTGGAATGGTAACAATTGTAGCAGCCCACAATTTAGACTGCATTGTCTACTGTCAGTATTGATGTGGAAGTTTGAGACCACAGGCAGGCTAGTGGGACTTTTCCAATCAAGTTAATAGATTAAACCACAATAGGACACTAGGTGCTGCAGAAACACATCCTAATTGACAGGCTAAAACAGTTTTTGGTTATCTCCAATGATAAAAGCTGAACTGTAAGAAAAGTGCTGAACTTTGATGAAAAGAACAGCACCAATAAAATCGTTACTTCAGAATAAAAGTTGAGGCATTTTAAAGAAATATACAGCATGTTAGCTTTCAGCAAATATGTCATTGTCAAACAAAAAATCCATTTAAAAGATTTTTTGTATTTTTATGTTTGAACTCAACAAATAGAGATTCAAAGTTGCTTACTGGTGTCATTAACCAATACTTCCCCCAAGTTTTACACTAAAGAGCCAGAATAGCCCATAAAATTTCTTAAATGAATAATGGAAACTATACTTGTCTGTTGCCTGGAATGCAGTCTAACCACATTGTAAGTGATTTCCCTGTGGTTTACTTTCTGGAAAAGCAGAAAAAGAACTACATGTCATGTGTTTTGGTAATGCCACAATTTTTTTCTATCAGACTTCTCATAGACGTTTTTAGAAGTAAAATTTTCTTAAGCTTGTTAGTTAGTATATAGGGTATTTGTTTTTATTTTTCTTTAAATTGTACAAAGCATTAGCTATGCTGTATCTCATCATTTAAAAATTTAAAGTAATTTGTACATTGTGTGTATTATGTCTGTATGCTATATTTTATTATTTAAAAATTTTTAAGTAAACCTGGAAAATATAAGTTTTTAATAAGAATTGTTTGAATAATTCAAACATTGAATAATGTTTGAATAAGAATTGTTTACTTTTGAAGGAGGTCTTTAAAAATCATTGCAAAACCTAAATAAACCCAGAGAGAAAAATGAAAAGTTTATATTTTCAGACTAGTAACTTAAATTCTGGATATTTATCCTAAGGAAAAAATCATATATTCATATAAAGATTTAAGTTCATGGGGGAATCATTGAATTGTATGGGGTGTGGGATATAATGATTGGACCCGGAGTTTATGCATGGGACCATGCACAATGTTCAGTTATGTGGTACTCGGTCTCTGCCTGAAGTAGATTTTAATAGTGCACTGGAGAATCACACATCAGTCACTTTTCAAAGGCTTATTTTCCAGAAAAGAGAACCCATGCAAAAAACATCCAAAATCAGAATGGCTGTCGCTTTAGCCAAGATCAACCGAGGAACATTCCTTCAAGGATTAAACAGCATCTCCAGATCCTCCAAATCAGTGGCCAGACTTCTGCAGCCTCAGCTTGCTTGCAGACTTTTAGAGTTAAGGGACATATCTCATCGCCTGCTGAGGGAAGTTAATGCCCCAAAGCAACCCCTCTATAACACGCAGGTAAGTGAATATTGCATTTGCACAAACTATGGACCCCTTTTTAGGGAACTGTTTTGAAATTAAAAGATTTGAAAAATGAGGGGGCTGGCCTCGTGGCCGAGTGGTTAAGTTCGCACGCTCCGCTGCAGGTGGCCCAGTGTTTCGTTGGTTCGAATCCTGGGAGCGGACATGGCACTGCTCATCAAGCCATGCTGAGGCAGCATCCTACATGCCACAACTAGAAGGACCCACAACGAAGAATATACAACTATGTACTGGGGGGCTTTGAGGAGAAAAAGGCAATAAATAAAATCTTTAAAAAAAAAAGATTTGAAAAATGAAAATGTAGCATATTTAGTTGCCCTACATGTAAAACAAGAATAGTTGAATGAGAGAAATGAATGGTTGGACCTTTTTCAAAATAGCATGTTCTCTGGATTAAAAAAATCTGAGAGAGGAAGTAATGTCGATTTTTTTTTTCTACCTTGTTATTTGAGTGAACTATATGAAACTGTCAACTTCAAATTGTTCAACCTAAATATAAGCATGCAAATTATCACTTATGTCAAACCTAAAACCAATCCTACAACAAGCCTTAAAAATGATTGTGTTTTGTTTCCTTTTCCCCATAACCTTGTTATGTTTCCAAGATAATCTTTGCTTGACATAACATATCGAGTATATTTAATTATAACTACATATTGATAGACACATCAACATCCACGTATATTTCAGATTACATGTTCTATGTTGTTTTATTGAAGCTCTGTTATATTTTGTTAAGGATGACAGCTCTTAAACTTTTTCAGGACCAATTTCTTTCTTTCTAAACTTTATGGCACAGAACTCTGGGTTTTTCAATCTGGGCATTGTTCAAAGTGTCCTAAATGTTTGCTACAAAAGGTTCAGAATCTTGCAAGTCAGGCATCTAAACACCAGAGTGAATTAATTTTAACTCTTTTCTTGAAAGCAGAGAAAACCCGGCTCAAACTGAGTTAAGCAAAAAAAGAAAATGTATTAGTTCATGTAGTTGAACAATTCAGAGTTGTTATGGTTTCAGGCACAGTTGGCTATAGGTACTCAAATATGCTTTCAGGATCCTGTTTCTCTCTTTCCATCTCCTGGCTATGCTTTCTCTGTTGACTCCATTCTTAGACTGATTTTCCTTTCACGGTCAAGATGATTTGCAGCTGTTCCCAGGGCTGCATCCTTCCAGGTTCTATTACAGCAGAAAAGACTGAGAGTCCTTGACCCAGCATTCCTGGCCAAGTCCTGAGGCTCACTCTTGGAGAGTGGCTTACCTCTAAACCAGGGAAATGGCATGCGCTGACTGACCTAGGACCAGACTACCTGCTTCATCCCTAGAGTGGAGGTTGGAGCCCCCTCCAGACCATATAACTTGAGAATGGGGAAAGGATGAATCCTTAAACAAAAATCTGGATTTTTTCAAGAAGATTAGAAAATGGATGATGGAGGGCTAAAATCAACAAAATATCCATTACGTAGGAATCTTTCTTTAATCAAAGATTTTGACATTTCCAGAAATCATCAGATATTGCAACTATGAATTGCCTGAGACAGCATTTATAAAAGGCTTGCTTATACTACTCGATGTTTGAGAAAGTAAAAAATGGTTTGTGTTTGTTAACCACTGGATTCTCTAAGCACTATAAACCTTATTCCTGTATCTTTAGATAATCAAAAAGAAACATAGTTGAACTGTATTATCTTAAAGTCCCACTGGAAAAATCTTTCTGAATCTAATGTTTTGCCTTGAAGTTTCCTTCCTTGCATTGTTAGACCCATAGTTTTTATAGAGGGTTAATATAAGAAGTGTCCTTTGACGAATATTTCTGTATTTATTATGAAATCATGTTTAGAGACACTGTCCATTATGTTATTCAGAATCTTTCTTTTTGCTCCTCTTTGCTAAGTCAGAACTGTGAAGGATCTGAGATTTTTACATTATTTATAAGCTAAGGAGTTAGCCTGCCACAGTTAGACAAATACACACACTGACAGAAAGACAAAAGACCCTTGAATCAGAGATACAGATTGTTTATTATTCACAGCAAAAGCAGCAGCCAGAGCAATATCTTGTGTCAGTTCCCTACACCTCAGTTCCCATGGGGCAATGTGATGAGAGCCAGATGTTACCTGTGCGTGTAGTAAATTGCACCACAGGAGAGGAACCCGGAAATGAGGAGACTCAGCTTTTTATAGGGATGCTGGCACATCTGCCCAGCCTCCAAGAAAGAGACAGAGAAAGCAAATGTCTCTGGAGGGGAAGGAGAAGGCTTTATCTTTTGTGCCCTGTGGCAGGTCTTGGGAGGTACATCTCTAGATCTCACCAGAGAAATATACTTTCTCTAGCCTCCAAAGCTATTTGCTATTCAACCTTGCCCTTCGCTCAGAAGGCCCAATCTGCACAGGAATGAGACACGTCCATGGAGGATTGTCTCCCCATATTCATGAAAATTCTGTGGCAGAAAAATAATCTATCTTTCCAGTTGAATTTGTTTTTTTAATCCAATAATGAAAACTAAAAAATACAGAGTTTGCCTTTTTGCCTTGACTGACAGTGAGTTTCACAGATACATTTAGAGCTTAGTTGTGATAACTTATTCCAAGAACCTGAGATGAAAGAAACAGGTTGAGGGATTAAGTGATTTGTCCAAGGTCCATATTGCTGACTGTGACTGTCTTTTCTTTTCAATTAATTTTTTTAAATTGAGTTAATGTTCATTTATAACATTTCATAAATTTCAGTACATCATTATATTTAGCCTTCTGTATAGACTACATCGTGTTCAACACCCAAAGTCTAGTTGCCATCCATCACTGTACAAATGTGCCCTTTTACTCCTTTTCCTTTCCACTTCCCCGCTTCCCCTCTGGTAACCACCAGTCTATTCTCTGTATCTATGTGTTTGTTTGTCATTGTTTTTTTACTCTCCACGTACAAGTGAAATCATACGGTATTTAGCTTTCTCCGTCTGACTTATTTCACTTAGCATAATAACCTCAAGGTATGACTGTCTCTTTTGACATCGATTCAGAATCAAGACCTGTGAAATCTCTTCTCTTTTGCTCTTGTTCTAATTATCTTAGGATCTAGCTTTAATTTTTAAAATTCTTATCATAAAATATTTCAAGATATATAAAAGATAGTTTGTCAGAAGCCCCACTCAAATTTAAACTGGTAATAATATATTGCCATATTGCTTTCAGATATCTCCTTTATAAAAAGAAATGTAATTAACCATGCCCAGATCTCTTCTTTTTTCCCTACCAAAGGTAATCATTATCCTAAAGTTGATGTGAGCATTTCCATGCATACGTTTATATTTTCACTAAATTTGTATGCATCTATTATTCTATGCATATTTAAAATTTATGTAATTGACATTATACTGTACTTATCCTTCTGAAACTTCCTTTTTCACTCAACATTTTTTGATATATGTAGCTATAGTTTATTACTTTAACTTCTTTATGGTATTCCCTTGTAAGAAAAGATAATCCACAGTTTATCTGTTACTGGACAGATGGACAATTTAGTTTCCAAATTTTTTGTATTAGGAACAGTGCTTCAGTGCACACTGTTTTAAATGACTCCTTCTCTGTGTGTCTGAGACATCCTCCAGGTGTACATCCAGCAGAGGGGTTGCTGGGTCGTGAGGGAGGCACGTCTTCAATTTTATTAACTGTCATCAAAATGCTTTTCCGAATGGGTACACTTTTTTTTGAATCATTGTGATTCTTGAATCTGAGCATAATTTCTTCAACTCTGGGAAATTCTTAGCCGTTATTTCTTTCAATATTGCCCCTTTACTCATTTTCTCTAATCTCTTCTTCTAGAATGCCTGGTAAACATACTTTGGACCTTCTCATTTTGTTCTTTATTCCTATTTACCTTCCTCATATTTTCCTTTTCTTTCTGATACATTCTGAATAATTTCCTCTGCTCTATCTTCCAGTTAACCAATTCTCTCCAGTTGTATCTAACATGCTCTTTTACTTATTCAATGCATTTTAAATTTCAAACGTTATAATTTCTAGAAGTTCTATTTGGTGTTTCCCCTCAAATTTCCACTATTTTCTTTTCAAAGCATCTTTTACAGGTGTATTTCTTTTAAAAAATATCTTTAATTATGTTAAACATATTTATGGTCTTTTTAAAGATTATTCTTTGAGATATTTGGGGATGCTATTCTGACTATTGTGATCTGTATTGTCTCATTCACAGCAGATAATTTCCTTTGTTGTTTCTTTTTGTTTGTTTGTTTTTAACTGAAAGTTTTTCTTAAATGGGGATTTAAAAAAAAAAAAAAAGAAAGAAAGAAATTCCAGGGCTGCCCCCATGGCCTAGTGGTTAAGTTCCCATGCTCCACTTTGGCAGCCTGGGGTTTGCAGGTTCGGATCCCGGGCACAGACCTAGCACCACTCATCAAGCCATGCTGCAGCGGCATCCCACAGAAAATAGAGGAAGATTGGCACAGATGTTAGCTCAGCAACAATCTTCCTCGCACACACACACACACACAAACAAATAGAAATCTCTTCTGGCCTTGGTGGTGGAACTGTCCCTCTGGAGGATTTTGCTTGTCTCCAGGGGTTCAGCCCCTGGTGGGGACCAGCTTCCTGACCTTCATCCTGGACTGGTGGGTGCAGTTCTTCTAGTCCCACCTTCACTGAGATTGCAGCTCTGCAGAGGCCCAATCCTCACCGCAGGTGCCCCAAGGCTCATCTCCAGTCTCTAGTAAAACTCAAGCTCTCAGCCATTATTTCAGGGTAAATAACATCCCCAAATTCTTGGAACATAAGCTCACACATTTATCAGTCTTGTATTAAATTTTTGGAGTCTGATTTTACGTAGAATTTCTAGGGTTTTTTGTATTTTTTAGAATTTATAGGGGTTCCACATTAGCTCAGATTGCCATGTCGCTGGAACCAGATGTCCTTCAGCCTTACTTCTTACTATCTTTTACAAATTTTAATATAAGATGGTTACACTTCAT